ATAAGGTATAGCGCGGGCGAGCCACGATACAATGAGCATAAACTCTCCATTTTTTTTATAACAAAAATTATAGTTTTTTTAAATTTTTTTGAAGAAATAAATGGAAAAAAAAATAATACTTTTTTTTATTTATATATAAAATATGGTTTTTATTTTTTTGATCATTTTATACTATTAAAAAAACTTATTAATTAATCTTTATTTTTTCGAAAGATTTAATTTTAAGTTTATAAATTAAATAATTTTTTGGGGAAAGAGGTTATTTTTAGAAATATATTCTTCATTATTTTATCAAGTTAATAATTATTTTTAGGAGTTAAAATTAGAACGCGATTTAAAAACAATAAGAATTGGTGTTTTTAATTTTGACTTTTGAGAATTGATTAATTATTTCGAATTTGAACTTTAATGATTTCTAATTTAAAATTTGAAATTATTGAAGCGAAAATAGAAAAGTTTTTTTGTGAATTTATCAATAATTAATTTTTTTTTTTAAAGAAAAAAATATATATATAATAAAATAAAATAATTTAAATAAATTAAATATAAAAGAAGTCCCAAAAAAAAATAATAAAAATAAAATTTAATAAAATATAAAAATTATTTATTTTGATAAGTTTATTATCGCCACCCCCTACCGTCCACCCCCCCCCCTCCTTGTCATTTTTTAAAAAAAAATATTATTATAGTAATTTAAATCCCCATTTTACAGCTGATTTTCTAATTCATTTATTTATTATTTTTACATACAAAAAAAAATAATTTAAAAGAAAAACAAAATAAAAGTACAAATTGTTTACAAAAGAAGAAAGCAAAACAAAAAAAAAAGTAATGAATGAAAAATATAAAATGATTTATCAATTTATTTGATAAAATGAAAACAAATTTTATAGTTAAATTTTTGTTAGCAAGCAAGCAAAAAACAAAACTTCTTAATCCCCCTATACCGCCCAAGCCCATTGATAAAAATAATATTTTATATTTTTACAACAGGAAACAATTTTAGATATAAATAAACATTTTTCCATTCAAAAAAAAAAATTATAATATATTTTGGGAATTGCGTGTAATTATAAAAAAAACGATTATTTTATGCATAAGCCCTTATAAGCAGGATCTAATCATCGCCCGCCGTTATTCTTATGCTAGATTTTTAATGTGGAAGCGGCGGCGATCTTCATAAAGGGCGTCTCGCGGTTGGCGCGTAAATTTTTTTTTTTAAAAAATAATATTAATATTTTTACAAAATTTCAAAATTGACGATTATTCCAATGATGATAATGCCACTTCTTTTATAGAATAATGTATGTGTTTGAAAGCATATCTGGAAATAATAAAAATCTAATTAATAGTGTTTTGACAAAATTTATAGAAAAAATTGAATTTTTATTTTCACAAAAAAATGGCCAACATTGAACTTGGCATGCATGCCTCCGATTAGATTTTTTAAACTTGCGCCGGCGGAACGATAGATTCGTCGTGGCACACTACTTATAAAAGCCATTCATTCATAATATTTTATATTAGCAATTTTTAATATAATTTACATACTTCTAACTAAGAGACGTGAAAATGCAAATTTTTGGCCCATCGAACACCATCCTATATTTTTGATTGAAATTTTATAAACGCGACCGGGTAATCGATACTTTTTCCTTATATATAAATCCGAACTACAATTTATTTTGATAAAAATAAGAGAAAATATTAATGTTCTATATGTTTTTAAATCTCACAAGCCTGAGCAGATGCGGATTTTTTAAAATTTAGGGTCCACGCCTTCTTAAATTTTTCTTAAGCCCGGGGTTGGTTGGGCTTCTAACCCACTTTGCAATTCCCCTGCCTGTAGATCTCTGTTTTAGAACATTAGCTAGTCCACTGTCTAATTTAAGCAGAACGTATCTTCTATATACTCAAAGTCAAATCTATATTTAATATTTATATTTTGTAAAATATATTTTTTTAATAAAATAAAAATTTCGCGCCAAATGCTGACTAAAATTTTTTTTATTGCGATTTGGCGCCAAATGCTGAACTGGCTAATAAATTTTTTTTTATTATTATAACATAAAATATGGGAGCCTTTTGAAACTTAAAAATAAAAAAAAATGTTCCTTATTAAATAGAGATCCAGACATTTCCAAAATTAAATTTAAATAAATCGTTTATTGCTATTATAAAATATGTTTACGTTTTAAAAAGTTTGAATTCCCGCCAGAAATGTTCTGGGAAAAAAAGACCCCGTCACAAAGACGAATAAAATTACACCCGGTCAACACGTCACAGGGCCAAAATACTTTCCCCTTTTTAAGTATTTAGAAAGATTGTATAAATTGGAATCTTTTAGTCAAGCTCTTTTTGTTCAAGAGATTTCTCTCCAGGATTCTTAACGTGATCCACTTTGAATTCTTTAAAAAAGTGGAGGGGGGAGAGGGGTATTTTTTTTCTATTACACGAGAAGAGAAAAATGTAATTTTGAATAAATTTAAAGAACTCCAGACAATTTTTTTTTTACAGAGGAGAATTTTTGAAGTGAGAAATGAATGGAATGGATATAAAAGAAGGAAATAAAAGAAAAAAAAATCCAGCAATATGCGTAATAAGAAAATGCAGATATTGATGACCAATTTTTCAGAAGTCCTGATAGTCCTGATAATTTACTTTGTTGCCATTTTACAAACTCTTTAAATCATTTATTTAGAGAGTCTTTTAAATTTCAACCGTAAATTATACTTCCTTATAAAAATCATTTTATTATATAAGATATTACACCGCATATTGCTGCCACAACCCCCCCCCCCCCCCCTTCCCTTGAATACGCATTAATCTTTAACATTTAAAACATTTATAGCTAAAAAAAATTTTTTAGCTATTTTTTAGGATTTTAATAAGGTGAAATCTGGAATTATATTCTGGTTCCAAATAACTTTTATTTACCATAAAATCTTGAAAATATTTTAATTTAAATCAATTTTTCCATAAATTTTTTATAATATTAATTAAGGTTTGATATTTCCATGACAAGATTGTAAATTTGTAGAGGTGGATCCAAAACCCGAGGAACAAGTTGAATTATCGAGTTTCCTCAGAATTTAGGCTCCTGGGAAAGATTAAGAATAAAAAATTGTACTTATTTTTTTTAGAGGAGCTCATGATCGGATATGATAAAAATTTGACATTTAAATATGAAATAGAATTTTGGCAATACTTTATCCACACAGAAAATGAACTGGAGATTTTACTTTTCTTATTGACTAAATATTTTAAAAATAAAACTTTCTAAAATATAGTTGAAACATGTGGTTCTAATAATGTTTCTATAGTAGTATTGTTTACATCTTATATGTTTTATTTCAAAAATTAAATTTTTATAATTTATGGTTCAGATATTTAATGCATATTGAATTAGCATCTAGTATGCAAATTTATTTAATATTTTAAAAGTAAATAACCTTAACAAAACAGTCAATGGAAAAAAATGGTCATATTCGACAGAAACCTAGATTAAAGATTTAGTCGAAATATAATTCATTTTGTACAAAAGGCCATTAATGGTTAAATAAGTTTCTTATATGCCAAATTCAAAAATTTTGTTTTTAAAAATTTAGCTATTAAAATTTTGTTTTTATAAATAATCTTATATTTTTTTTAAAAATTTAAGTTATTTATTCAAGATACAAGGTAAATTATAGGGAAAAGAAATATAATAGATTTATAAAAAAAATAGTATGAATTATATTTTATAAATTTTAAATATCTGGTTTTTAAAATCGCCTAGAAGGCGCTCTTTAAATTTTATGATTAGTTTTCCTTTAAGATAAAAAATAAACTTTATGGGTGGGTATACTTTAAATTATCTTCTTCTAAATTGAGTTATTTTAATTAAGCTTGACTATTATAGATGTTTAATTTAATATATATTAATTTTAGACCCTTAAAAAATGTCAAACTAGATCAATAAAAAGATGTTTTTATAGTGAACTGATCGAACGTGCCATATAAACATTTATTTCATAAGTTATAAAGAGTTTAAAAAGATGGGAAACAATCAGGGGCTGAGAAACAAAAATAGAAATAAGATAGATGCGGATTTTATTAATTTTCAAATAGGAGCTCTTTTAAACATTCTAAAAAAAGATATATATGTTGCTCCAATCTTATATGCAAGAAATAATCGATATGGATAATGAACACCGAGCGAATATTCATTGAAAGAGTATTTACAGTTAAAATTTAGGTTTTTACTCGATATATCTGCATTGGCAAATACATCTGTAATGATAAAAAATAAATATTGTAATCAAATAAATATTTTATAAACGGATCAAGATTAATTAAAAATCAATATAAATGTGTTATATTGATATATTGGATCTCTTCTCATATATAATAGGTTAAATGAAACCATATATATAGGATTATTCTAAAAATTCCAATTGCCGTCTTCAGTGAAGACAACTTATTAAAGCTCATGCTATCTTAGGCTTTACTAAGATTTTGCGAGGTGCAAGACTGCCTCGTAAATCGATCACTAATTTCAGTCGGAAATGGCATCGCATCTTGTACCAACATAATATCCTTTTTTTTAAATAAAAGATTAGGCAGATAAATGCTTAAACTAATATTCTATTGTTTACAATGATTATATATATGCACGGGATATGCAGAATATTAATTTTTTTTAAAATATGCGTTGCTCATATTTATCATTAAAATTTTATCAGCAAAATTAAAAGCCCCCCATTTAAGAACAATTTTTCACTTTCCCAATTTATAAAAAACACAAATAAAACTTTATCTCTAATAATTATTCAATTATTGATTTATTTATTTTATGATTCAGAAAACTAATTTATTATATATGTTGTATTTTAAAAAATATTATTATTTTATTTTAAAGAAAGAAATCAAAAATTTATAATTTATAATTTTTGTTATTCATTTCACCATTTATATTCATTCCATCTTAGAGCTTGTGTTGGCAGGTCAAGGTTTAGCATGAACAAAATATGCTAATATATTAGCTTCTAATCATTCATACATAAATAAAAATGAATCTGTTATCAACGAAAAGGTTCCTTAAATAATTTAATTTGAATATTATATTGTGATATTATATAAAATTAGCTGGCATGTTAGAAGAAAGCATAATATTGCTCGTGTTAGAAAAGATGAGGCGGAAGCATTGGAGGATGACATGAAAAAACAACATAAGCAAACACAATATGTAAAATCTTTTATTATAATATTAATTAAAAAAATAATTCTTTTATAGAAAAGTGAAGCGAGACTTAATATATTAAGGCAAAAGCTAATGAAAAAGCAAGGATTTATTGTAGATGAAATGAATACAGCTCATTCCTCAGATTCTCATATCAATTTTTTTGCAAATATTGAAAAAGGAGTAATTTTTTAAAATATTTACAAATAATCTTTAAATAAAATGAGATTTATCTATTTTTTAATATTTTATTCTTTCTAATTTCTTTTGTTATTCATTAATTTTTATTCACAACTTTTATTTTTAAAATATTTGCATGCATATTAACACAACAAGCTATAATATTATCCTAATATATATTTAGATAACCTTTTTTTATGATTCATTAATAATGTACTATCTGAATGTAGAAAATTTGAGTTAATTATTTGAGCCCATTCATTGTTTATAACAGAGTTTGAATAAAAAATTTACCTTAAAATGCGAAATCTTTTATAAGTAAATCTTTAGTAATTTTCATGTGTAAGTAATCTTTTATTGAACATTTTTTTTTAAACTCTGGTTTATAGCAATGATGGGCAAAATATGTCTGATATTTTGTTAAGCTTTAAAAATTATATCTTTGTATATAATGTATTTAAGCCAACCCTGATAATGGATTTTTTATCTTATTAAAAGAAATTTTACACATAGATTGTGGAAACATTCTTTTCTTAACAAAATTTACTATTTCATATTTAATGATAATATTATTAGAAATTTAGCAATTTTGAAATAATCCTTTTTGAGTTAAAATGAGTCCAATGAGCATGTTCACTTGGATTTTTTATAGAGGACATATTCTTCTAGCTAAAACTGTAGGTCTTGGAAGTTCTTATTTTTTCTTTTTAACATTTGAATAACTATTGATAGACCTGTGCACCAACAGTTTTATTGGTGGGAGCTTCTTCTTTAAAATGATTAACTGGTGCAGACATGTCCCTTACTTCACACTGTCATAATCATTTGTAGTGATGTGATGGCACCTAATATATTTTAGGCTATTTTTTTTACTAAATTTATTTATTTAATGCAGATGTATAACCAATAGGGGGAAAGCCCCTCCCTCATCACAAATTTGCCAATTGTAAATAAATATTTTAAGGTAATATTTTCCCCCTACACACTCCCCACCCCTCTCCTCAAAAATGCACACAATATATCATAAGGAAGAATTTAAAAGGAAAATTAGTAAAAGTTAATAACATTTTAATTAACAATTATTCAAAATTTTTAGAAAAAAAGCATTTTAATTATATAAAAATGTGAAAACCCAAAAATATTTATACAAAAATTGCATATAGCCAAAAAGCATAATAAGTGGACTTAAAGATCTCCAACAAAAATTTATGAATAGCATAAAATAGAAATCATATTGGTGGCACAATCTGGTAGATTATGCAAGCAAGGAGAGATGCAGCAAGTTTGCAGAGTACTGAATTCACCTTTTTTTCTTTAGAATATCCATTCATTATGTTTATCAAGTGAAAGTGTGAAAGTGAGGGTCTAAAAGTGCTCCTCATAATACCTAAATATAAAAAATAATTAACAAAGAGATATATAATTTTTTTAAAAACACACTATTTTATTTATTTTTAATTAATATCTGAAGATTGATTTATTGAAAATCTACATATTATGCCTAAGAAATATTATTGCACATAGGTGGGTGTATATGTAATGTAGAGCAGAACTATCATTTTCTTCAAATTATTATTAATTTCACTCTGAAATAATGAGGATATGTTTATGGTATATATCTTTTTGAATGGAGGAAAACAAAATGGTGTTCTTGAAGGTATTAAGAAAATTTCAAAGTTCTTTCTCAAAGTCCCATTCAGAGCTGAATAATTTAAGATCCTATTTCTTTAAGCTTAAGGCACAATAATTTGAATAAAACTAATTTTATATCAATTGTACTTAGAAAATATTTCCTTAATATGATTATAAACGTCATATTGATATTCACTGCTACTTCTTATATGAATCTACTATTAAGAAGAAATTCCAAAAAAATGTATTGCAAGCTGCAGTCATAATCAATAAGTAAATTATAAAGGTGTTTTTAAAATTATTTAAAAAAATATAACTATGTTTTTATATAGCATTTCTCTTATAATATGTTTATATATTAGAATACAATTAAAATAAAATACGATAATTTTTTATATATTTTAAAGTATATTATTTCTAAATAGCTCATTTTTAAAACAAAATAAAATATATTGTATATCTCAAAAATATATATGTTGTTTGTACATTTTTAATTTGATAGCATCTATTTTAATATTATTCTAATAACTCAAAAACTATTTAATATATATATCAAATATCATATAATATTAATATATATATATTCGAATAAACATTTGAATGTATTATTTAATACTAATAAAATAAATATATTACGACGGTGTGATTAGAGCCGACACTTTAGCGGTCCAATCAAACACTGTGGCTGATTTGCTTGACGCTTTTTAGCGGCTCAATCACCAGCGGTGTCGGATTTACGGGCGGTGTACAGGTTTATTTATTAGAAGTGATAGAAAATAAAACTACTAATAGACTCTTGTTCAAGATTTAAGATAAATTAGAGCATTATTAATTGTCAAAACCGAAACATCTGGTTATTGGGTGAATCCTTGTGCATTATTCGTATCTTTTGATTTTGGAATCGACATATTTTTTTTTAACAGTCTACTTTTTGGGACATCTTCCATATATAACAATTATTTATTAATTTGATTTATTCATTCCTTCTTTCTTTTTTTCCGTATAGGATAAGATCGAAAATTTCGAAAACGCTGAAAAAGAAGCGGAAAAAAAGGAAGAAATAGAGAATTGGGAAAAGAAGATGGGAATACTTAATTATTTGGGCCAAAGTGCGGTCGACTCTCAAAGTTAAAAATAAATAAATTTGCAGAAAGAAAATAAAAAAAGAAAGAAAGAATAGAATAGAATGAATAAAATAAGAATCTAGGCTTCGAATCAAACCCAAACTCGGAACTCTGAATCTATTTTTTAAACCTTTACTCGAATATTTCCCTATTTTTCGGATTCACTTATAACCAAACCGGGTTCAAAATATTGTTTTTTAAAACGAAGCCGAATTAATTGATTTTTTAACCCCTAAATTAAAACTCTGCTCTAGTGTTGTTAAAAAGCCCAATTTGGGTCTATTTAAAATATTAATATGCAAGCCTGGAGATTTTGCTAATAGATGGCTTTTTTTTCTTTCTTTCTTTCTTTCTTTCTTTCTTTCTTTCTTTCTTTCTTTCTTTCTTTCTTTCTTTCTTTCTTTCTTTCTTTCTTTCTTTCTTTCTTTCTTTCTCTCTTTCTCTCTTTATTTATTTATACATCTATCTGCCATACTTCCGAGGCTTACACATTAATTATTTTGGCTAAGATCTTAATCTCGCTTTTTAACAACACTACTCTGCTCTATTAAAATAAAACCCGAAAAGAGTTTCACGTTTCTATTAAGGACAGCGAAACAAAAATTGGTGGTCTTAGAAAGATGAGTATTAATTATTTGATGGAATAACTATAATATTTTATATGCAAGCAAGAAAGAAAGGAAGCAATTCTTAAAGTTAACTAATTATGCTTAGGTCAGTCATATAATTTTATCTCTAATCTTTACTTTTCTTTACCCAAAGTGAGAGACCACCTTTTACTTATGGATATAGAATAATCATCTCTAAATGAAATTATTTTTTAGAAATCTTTAAATTTCCTGAACACATATTTTCCCAGAAAAGGAATTGTCATAAATCATCGGATTAAAATTTTTTCTTTATTCGAAGGTTCACCTATTAGGCAAAATGATTGTTGTGCATTGAAATTATGATACAATTAATCTATATATTGAAAAATAACTTATGAAAACAGAATGCGTTCCTTGGTATTTAAAGTCCAAACAAGATAAGGAGAAAAGTGCCAACAAGGATTTCTCGAGAGAAAAGTTTATATTCACTTTTATATTTTAAAATGAAAAGGATTTATATATTCCTTGAGCGAATATTATTTTGGCTAAAATCTTAATTGGACCCTTTTTAGAAAATTGACCCCAATTCGTTTTTAACAACGATACAAATAACTCGTTTGTAAGAGAATCCTACTCCTACGTCAACTGATCCAAATGGATTTTACATTGCTCGTGTTGGAAGAGACATTTGCTCGGACTAGGTTGGATTCGAACCTTAACCCCGCTCGTTCATAGTTAGCGCAAATTCCCGGCAAATTATACAAAATACACTGCATTTTTTTTAATGCTTCGCCCCTAATTCGAGTCAGCTGTGAATGCGCAGGGTGACCTAGATTTTTTTATCGGACAATAGAAAGATCCTGAATCCACTTTTGTCTAATTCTTTTACCTTTTTTTTAAACAGTCCAATAAAAGAAATTCAAATCCCTACTTCTAAAAGTAAAATTTAGGATATGGTACAGATCTTAAAAATAAAGGATACTTGGATTGAAAAAGTGGAAACAAGTTGGAATCCCTCCCTCCTCCGATTCTTAATATTTTTTTAAAAAAACTGGATCTATTTCCGGTTTTTTAGATTTTAAAACGGTTAAAGAGGTCCAATATTTGGCTTTAGTTTTAGGTCTGATTTGATAGGGAAGGAGAAATATTTATATTACAGACCTATATGACCCCCCCCCCCCCCTTCTAAAGCATATCAGGACTTGACATTTTTTTTTATGGATGTAATGTAACCAATTTACTTGTGTAAAGAGCTTGATCATAAAAACCATCATAAAAAAAATCTTAAAGGGCTGTTTGGGCCACGCCATTCTCGAATTGGAATTGATATAAAATTTAAAAAATAAAAATGAAATGCTAGTCAAGAAATAGAGGATATATTTGCCGCTGCCAAGATGAAGAAGCTCGAAGAGGATCGGCAGAAAGAACTCAAACAAAAAACGCTGGATTACCTCAATAACAATTCTACAATATCTACTGACAATAACGTAAATATTATATTATGTATTATGTTTTTAATCAAAGAAGTTATGATAATATACGGATAAGGCGATAGCTCAACGCGTTTTTTTCCCGAAATGCGCAGTAGGTTTCAATTCTGATAATCTTCTTCTTTAATGGCGATTTCCAGATTTACCCTGGTTGGCCAGTTTTCCCTCGATTTAATCATTGGGAAATTTTGTAGCAAGGTTTTTACAATCGGATGCTCTTCCTGACATCAACCCCTTTAGGTGGTTTTTACACCCCGTCGAGGAAGCGGTGTCCTATTCTAGACCCAGACCACAGGGAACCTTTTAGACTCCCATTAGTCGTCAGACGTTGCGCCACGATGAGTATCCATACACTCAGCTGTTTCGATTTTATTATTTTCGCGTAATATAATTAGCAGATAAGCATGAGGTAATCCTCTCGTTTGAAACTCTGTCGTATAAACGTATGCCGAACATTTGCCAAATAAGTATTTTTTTTAATAATATCGTGTAATAATTCTAATAATTTTAAATGAAAAACTCTGGCTAATAAATCAGGTCTATCTGCAGAGTTCTGGCTTTTATAAAGATTTTTTTAAAATTTCCTTCCAATTGGGATTGCATGTAAATGCTATAAATAAATCCGCCTTACCAAACTCAGAAACGATTGCCATAGCGTCATTATATCGTTCATGCATGTTTCTATCTGGCCCTTTGAAAGAAAAAGGCAAAACAACGGCTCTTCCTATAGGTAAATTAGTATTATCTTATACTTTTGAAATGCCCTGAATAATCCTCTACACCTAATTTTGATTGGTTTAATTTTATATAATTCAAATTATTAGCTTCGACTTGGAGATTGTTAAATGGCCCATTAAATTTCATATCAGTATGCCAACAATGATCGCCATAAGGAAATAGTAAAGGATACACCCATAGGATCTTTAGATAACTAAAATTTGAGTAATCATTTCGTGGATAAACTTTAACACCACGTTGAAAAGGTGGTTTCTCCATCATTGTTATTAAAAATCATTGCTACTTCATCAATAGTAGGAATATTAAATCTTCTTCGATCATTGGTGCGATCACGGCGAAGAATCATATTTACCTTTGATATTGAACGGGTTTCTAAAGACCTTCTTAACCTCATCTATTGTTTTAAAGCTAATAGCATACGGATTTGACGAATTAAAATATCAAGTTTTCTTAATAAATGAATGTCACAGGCTGAATTTTCTTTTAAAAGTGAACGATTATCCCTGAGATGTTTCAAGAACATATAATTGTGCATATTTTGGGGAAACGCCATTAGGAGGATATAAATGCGAAGTTTGATGGTAAATTTTATCATGAATCCATCATGGATGACATATGATATGAAATTTAATTAGCCATTTAACAAGGGAACAAGATCAAATATAACTAAGTTACAATTTAAAATACCAAGTTCGTGCTGATATTTTAAATCATATTCTTTATGCTGGGCGATTATTTCATCAATATGTTGTTGATTCCTATCTCCTAGTCGAAGCTAATAATTTGAATTATATAAAATGAAACCAATCAAAATTACGTGTAGAGGATTATTCAGGGCCTATGGATCATATTTCTGCCTTCTTTTTTTTAGGAGTCTCATAGAAACATGCGTGAACGATATCACGACGTTATGACAATCGTTTCTAGGTTAGGTAAACCGGATTTATTTAAAACATTTACAGGCAATCCCAATTGGAGGGAAATTAAAGAAAGTCTTTATAAAGGCCAGAATCCTTCAGATAGGCCTGATTTATTAGCCAGAGTTTTTCATTTAAAATTATCTGAATTATTACACGATATCATTTAAAAAAAATCTTTTATACCATAGAGTTTCAAATGAGAGGATTACTTCATGCTCATCTGCTCATTATATTACGCGAAAATAATAAAATCGAAACAGCTGAGTGTATGGATAATTAATTATGCTCGAGCTAAAATCCCAGATAAAAATGTCGAACCCCGATTATATAATATTGTTGTAACTCGCTTTGTGATACATGGACCCTGTGGTATTTTGAATCCTCACTCACCATGCATGGAAAATGGTTCACGTACAAAAAAACTTCCGAAAGATTTTCACTCAACACGATGCGAATGGATATCCATTTTGTCAACTTAGAGATAAGTAAGGAGATAAGCCCTTTCGATAATCGATACGTCATCCCTTATAACAATTATCTAAGTTCAAATGCACACATAAATGTTGAAATAGGTACATCAATAAAATCCGTCACCCGCCCAATGTAGACCATAGCGGAATAGCGCGCTATTTAGCTATTCTCTCCTTAAAGGAGAGCGTTAGCTTTCGGTATTGAGAAAAAGCGGCGCGTTGATTGAATCACTCTGGAGATTACAAGGAAACATAAGATTATAAAAAAAACGATTATTCTAATATATTTTTATTTTACCTTTTGGTTAATATGGAAACTTAAGAAATTATTTATCTAATCGAAGGATAGAACACTATAATACTCAACCGGCGATTTAAAATGCAAATGCAATTCTTTCATTATTTAGGTGAATATATTGAATATGTCATAATATAACGAAGGAGGAACGTAGTGCCATTTTTTTTTCGTAAAAATAAAAATAGTTAAATGTAAAACTATGATTAAAGGATAGAAAAAAAAGAATGGAAGAAGATATTCAAGAAAGTAATAAGAAGATAATCTAGAGAAGAGAAGAAGGTAATATGGGAGGGGGGCATGAGAGCTTATTCGGCCTTTTATCATAAGAAGAGCGAATATTTGTGTTGATCGGTCTTTTTGGGGATCCGTTTCAGCTTTGAGGGGATCTAGTGATGGGTTAGAATGTTGTAAGATGGGGGTGGAAAGAATTATATTTACTTATTTTCTGAGATTCAGCAAGCGAGAACATCGATGCTACTGTTGGATGGAGCATTTAGAATAATGCAAATAAAGCCCCAAACCATAAGCTGCCCCCCCCTCTTAACTAAGGTATTGAGGGCTCGTCAGTTCTAAATAGGCTCTTGGTTCAATAGAGGTGATACTCGCCAATTTAACGCCTCGCAAAATAAGGTCTTGGTATCATGGGAAACGGTCGGCGAAATCGGCAGTGGAAGCAAAGTCTGGACCCTGTCAACATTGACTTCACAATGTTTGCATTTTTACCTTTTTGAGTTAGGTCCATAGTTGAATCCTTTGTTTTTTAATAATTTTTTTTATAATTTTTTTTTTATTAGGCAGGAATCCTAATTAATGAAATCCTTGACACAACACCGAAAAAATCACACAAACATAAAAAAGGACACAAGCGGAAATCGACGAAAGAATTGATGAAAAAATCTTCAAGGAAGCATCGAGATTCGCGCAGTATATCTGAATCTAGTAGTTCCGACCAATCATGCACAAGTTTGCGAAAGGTATTTGATACAAACCTACATATTTAAAAAAACTAATATTGCAACATGAGAATTAAAAGGGGAAGGAAGGAAAAAAACTAAGGAAAGTAATTTATTTAACAATCTTAATCCAAATTTCCTCATGGATATTCAGTATCACGTCAGGGGTTTGTGGAATATCTTTTTAGGGACCTCCTTTTTAGTTACCATTCACAAGCGGTCCACACGGCAATGTTAACCGTTAAAGAATAGGATTTTAAAGCGGTAAATTGTGCCAACCTTAAAAAAATATCCCAAATATTGCTTATTATGAAAGTTTAATTAAAACTTGTGATTATATTTAAATAATTAAAATTTGCATTTCTGTTATCAGATTATGAGTTTTTTTATTTACAAATCATGGAAATTTTTGTAATTTTTAGCGTAAGGAATTAGAGATATGCACCCGACCTAGACCGTTTAGGCCCGTTAAGAATTTTCGCGCAAGTGGCCCAGGCTTTATAATTTTTTTAAAAAAATTTTCTGGCTGAACTTTGCTCATCTCCTCTATTTAAAGAGTATCACATTAGGATACCTAACCATTAAGGAGGAAAATAATCCGGTCTAATTTTCCATATCATTATATTAGTTACCTTATCGTTACAAAGTAATTTTTTTTTTATAAATTCAAATAAAATAAGAAATCACAAATTTATAATCGGAGACATTATAAAGCTACTTTTCAATTTTTTTCCCACCATTAAACGATATCCCGCGAAATTTTTCTAATAATAAAAAAGGTATTCCACTAAATGCTCTGGCTATACCGGATCACACTTAATTCTTCTAAAAATATACAATTTTTTTTTGAAACCTGCTACCTAATATTTGAGCGGACTTTTCAATGTTATTATCATGATAAATTGTATTTATGGACTAGGCCAGGCAAATCTTTGGGTTGGACCAGGTAAGTTGTGCAAAATATTTATACTGGCTGGGTCAAAATTTTGGAAAGGTTGTTTTATAGTTAATTATTAAGCAAATTTATGTAGTTTTCATTCATAAATAATTATCACGGGTAGGGTTTGATGTACAAAAATACGGGCCAGGCCGGTATAATCAGAGATTGGAACCAGAATCTTGAACTCTCGGAACGGAACAAGAACCCGGGGAAAATTGTCAATTTTTTTTATCAGAACCGGAAATAAAACCCATAATCTTTTTTGAAAGTAGAACCAGAACGCCCATTTTTAAAATTTTAGGAAATTACTGCCTTTATAAAAATGTATATTCAAAACCGGAAGGAAGCAAACAATTACTTCCGGTTCTATACTAAATCAAATAATATATTTTTTTTTACACGAAAGAAAAACAAATCAGACGAAACATCTTCTTTAGATATGGACAAGCTCAGACGCGAAAGACTTAAACGGGAAATGGATGAGCGTCTTAAGGCCGAAAATTATATCAAGGCTCACACCATGACTAAAATGTCTGGGTCGAATCGTGATCGTGTTGAACTTCAAGCTGGTTATTTATTTTTTTATAAATATATTTATTTTTAGAAAAGATGGCTGTGTAATAAATAGGGTAAAGTCGTACCACAGCGGTAATCTCATAGCAATAGGACGCATATGTATATATAATGTACTTAAAATTATTCGGTATAGTTTTAATCATTTTGTAAATTTTGGGTAATGGCTAAATCTTCAGGCCCCTGACGGAAAAAATACGTTAACATTGAGGCGTCTTAATATAATCAGTTTCTTCCAAATTTGAGGCGCTACCTTTTTAAGAAAAGCCCAGATGCAAAAGTGCTAGTTTTCAGCTAAATTTGCGTAAACGGCTAAAAATATAGTAATTACCCAACTATAGTAATGACTACCAAACGCTCAATTTCCCAAACATTAGATCGCTCTGATTTTTCCGGCCCGGCCTGGTGGGAATTTATTTTTTTCCTGGCCCAACCTACTTTCAATTTTTTTTACTAAGGTGGCCCAGCCCATTTTCATTTTGAATACAAGATCTAAATACACGTTGTTGAACACCAAAATAAACAACTATCTATAATATTGGGGAGGGGTCTATAATTTATAAGATTAACAGAATTACGAAAAAAAATTGCCCAGCCCGTTAATAATTTTTGCCCTGCTCAAATAAATAATTGTCAGACGTTACCCGAGCATGGTATCGTGCCGGGCTTTTTAGATCTCTAGCTTTAACTATGGCCTTGCACTTATAGAGGCACGATTCTCGGAATCGGATAGTCATCCGATTATAGAGAAATATTGAATTATTGAAACGAATTATACGAGATGGGGGGTTTTTTTCTAGCCCTTTTCCCCAATAAAAATTTATTTTACCGGTGTTGAGCCGATTTTTAAAAACGGCTAACTCACTATTTCACCCAGAAAAATGTTACGTAAGCCCGAAGATTTTGTTCATAGAAGGTACGAAGGTTCAAGACATATATTATCCAAATCTCGAGGTTTAGGCGATTTTTTTTCTGGCTAAAATATTGAGTTCGCCGTTTTTAAATAATCGCCTCGAAAACGAGCCGCTTAACAACGCTAAAATACGGATACCTCATTTTTTTTTCGTTGTCCTGATCCATCATTTTAGTAAATTAATAATTATTTTTTTCTATTTTTGTTTGTTTGTTTATTAAAAGAAACGTTTCAATTCGTTGTTATTTTACTGACTAATTGCTTTTTGGAGGAATCAGAATAAATAATAATGTGTGGAGGAGAAAAATATAAACGATTATCTAGTTGTTTTAAAAATAAAAATTGAGGTTACCTAAATATGTGGTGATGTTTAATCACCTAACTTTGATGAACCAACTCCAATATGGCGTCGTCAAGATTATCCCCTAAAAAAGTTGACTTAAACGTCTAAGTTTAGCCTCAACTTAATGATAGAGACTATTTTTGGATTAAAAAGTTTTAGAGCTGGCCAAAGTTAGGTGGTTTTACAACACTTTAAATATGTTTTTAAATAAATTTAAGTTTATTCGTTTTACGAATATAAAAATGTTTTTTAAAAGAAACATTTTCTCAACAATTTAAACATAAGATATCTAGGATACTAAATAAAATGACACCCACGAATCATATAATATTATAATGTGTATTGTTTTTTAAAATTATAGAAACTGTTTTAGCGATATCAAACGATCGGCGTGCAAACGAGGATACCTACTATAATTCCCAATTTAATCCCGATTTAATATCAAATAGACGCAAGAAATATAAATAATTGATATAATATTGAATATATTTTTGTATTTAATTATTTATTTATTATAATAATGTATATATATATATAATAAAATTGGTTACTCCTGATGTCCATATTCCGCATAAACTGAGATTGTCTCATATACATTCTAAATATCGTTTTGTTTTAATACCCATGGATGAGCGTCTGCAACCTATCTTTAAAAAAAAATCATTCTATAAGCCTCAAGCTAGATCTACCTTAATAAATCGGTAGGCTCGCTAGAGTTAAAAGTTAATAAATACCTTAGAAAATTGTTATGGCTGCAGAGTTACCAGTTTGCAGATTCGGTATAGCAAAGCTAGGGTTACCTTAGAACCTTGCTATTGTAGGAAATCTGCAGCATAGCGCTACAAGCTAAAACTGCCTTAGAAAATATATGATTTCTCTATTGCTACAAGCTAGGGGCTACCATAGAAAATCTGGAGCTCGGGTATAGCTACAATTTTTTATTTGCATTAAGTTACTATATCTTAGCTACAAGTTATATAAATTAGATACCCATAAGGAAACAATTTTTTCATCCCGAACCGAAAAATATATTTTTTTTTGACCAAACTCGATCCGCAAAACTTAAAAAGAAAATTTACCCCGATATTTGATTTTCCAGCATGATGCATAGAGATAATATGAAAGGAACGAATTTGTAAAATAATGTACCACAAGTTATTTCAGAGCCCTGCATCCTCCTTTCTGTTATGAGTCCAACAATCTGCTATTATTCAGGTGTAAGAGACATTTTATAGATCTTATATTGGTAAGTTTATAGTTTATAAGCAATAATTACCATTGGTTATCTTTTATTTATCTGTCATATGATTGGTTTGATCAACATTCTTTGAAACAAAATAAAAATGGGATGCACAGGATAAAATTTAAATAAAGAGCAGGATAAGGGTAAAATATCTTGATGAATTATAGAGATGCCTTGCAGATTTTCAGATACCTATTCCAATTGTTTCATACTTTGAATTATAATAATTTTTAACAGATGATTCTTTCTCAATGGTCGCTTATATCCATTACTTATAGGCTTTTTTCTTAATTGCATATAACGGAGCATATAATTAGATTCCTGACTCTTTATTCAAAATATTTATTTTTCAAATTTAACATATAAAAATTATAACAAAATATGTATTCTATATTTTTATATCTCACTATTAAAAAAATTATTAAAATTTAAAAAATTCATTTAAAAAAAATAAATTAATAAAATTCAACCAACCAATGGTGCTCGCAAACATAATCTTACCCTAATATTATAAGAAGAACTTTCATTTCTTAAATATTAGCCGGTATTCTTGCCATCATTTGCCGATAATGTATCTTGATACCTTGAAGATATGTTTTTATAGAATTGATAACTGAGAGATTGTCTACCAAGTAAATCAGCTGAACTGTATGTATCAATTATAAGATAGATCAGGACTGTATCAGCCAATTTTTGAGATATAATATCTGGTACTAATATTGTAGCATAGATAGTACACCAAATTTTTTTAGATACTTTTCATTCTTCTAGAATATTACAATTCGCTTAAAATGCAAAAAAATAATATTTGTTTTTGGCCATCTATGTCCTAAATATTTTAAATTGCTGCATCCTTATATTTATCTCGTACTTATATACTTTAAATTAGTAGAGTAAATAGATAATAAAAGTTTTATGCATTATATTATTATATCCGTAAAAAAAAATATTAAGTTAAATTTGGAGTAGTAGTAAATTATTAACAAATTCCCCAGAGAATTAGATTGGCAATTCTGTATGGCATCTATGATATATCCCATTATATCTTTGTATGAATGAGTTTTATAGATAGAGATTAGAATGATTTGGGTTAAGCGATTTCTTATCCGCGATATCTAAGCTCATTCTTTTCTATATATTCATCGAGAACAACTAAATTATAAATAGAATAGGGTTTCTCCCAAAATCTTACATTAAGTCTTATCGTATAGGGGTAGTGGCAACGTCTTTTGGTCGCCAATGGAGGTTTAGTCTGGGTTCAGAATAAGATCACCGTCCCTTAGCAGGGTAAAAAAACATCTAAGAGGGTTGATGTCAGGAAGGGCACGATTGTAAAAAAAAACACTGCTCCAAAAATCCCTAATGATTACAACTAAGCATGTGTGAGAAATATTTAGACCATATGGCTATAGAATTCCGTAAGATAATTTATATATAAAGGCAATAGTAAATTATATCCAAAAATTATAAATAAGAATAATCATGTTAGTTATAACAAACAAATTTACTAGACCATATGGCTATAGAATTCCGTAAAATAATTTATATATAAAGGCAATAGTAAATTATATCCAACAATTATAAATAAGAATAATCATGTTAGTTATAACAAACAAATTTACGTATAAATCAAAAAAATATATCATAATGAAGAATTACAAAGTTGTAAAATTATACTAAAATTGGCTAAAAAAATTGAAAGAGAAAAACTGACATTTAGTTTTAATTTGAATGTCATAAAATTGTGGTTGCGCTTAAACTGTAATTTAATTTTACCGCGTTTTTATTTACTGAATAATGATAATATTTTTTTCTCGCAAAAAGAAAATATATAATATAAATGAAAATAAATAACATTGTAGGGTTAATTATATTTTCGAAAATATTTTGTAAAATTGCAAAAATTACGTTATAAAATAATTTTTAACAATTTAAACCCCATCTTGGTAGATAGGTCCTCGGCACCTTTGTTCATCCTTTATACCTAAAGCGTCTTAGTTTATCATTATAATCATCTTCTCCATTCCATGGGTCTAAATTGAATTTGTCGAAATATTATAAATAATATATATATGTTAGCATTAGCATCAATGTTAATTTATTTTTTTTCCAACTTTAAAATCATTTATTTTTCCTTATTTCATAACTCACGAACGGTTCATTCTGCTGATGTCCGGATAGAAGTGCAAAAGACTCTAAATAAAGGCATAAATTTTGTCAATTGCACCTCAAGTCATTCTGCCAACTTCACGGACCTATTTTGCGGGCGTATTTAAAAAATTTTAAAAATTCATTTTTACCGGGAAATGTGAACAAATATTTTTTTTTGATTAAATTTATTATATTATAATATTTAATAGTGTTTTACTATCTAAACCACTTAAAATTTTAAAATTTTTTTTTAAAAAAAAATATCCAAGGAGGTGCCGATATATTTTTGAAATTGTATATTATAAAAGAGAGAAAAGATAAGCAATTACAGCACTATTTGATAGAGACCTCATTATTTATTATCATCTTCATGTATGAAAGTTGATTATAAGAACATTTAGGGTAGAGATGACAAGAATGGAATAATTGTCAATAGGAATCACCCCCCCCCCCCAAGGAATGAGGTGTAGAGAAAGAAAACATACGTATACTATCTTAAAAAAATATTCTGGAAGGTATCCCGCAAAGAATTATTCCAAAATAAGTGTCGCATATGTAACAAATAGTAAAGCGTTAAATTTGGGACGGATCTGCTGTTGTTAACCTGCTCGATTTAAACCGATTTTTATAAACAGCTGACTCCTCAATATTTTATCCAGAAAAATATTAGGGCCAGAGAATTTTGTTCGCAGATGGCACAAATATCGCTGGCTATACGGTGCTCGATTCGTGGCTAAATTATAACTTGCACGTAAAATTTAGCTTTATATATTGTGTAGGCAACGCGATGTCGCACTATTTTCCTTCCTTCCTTCCTTCCTTCCTTCCTTCCTTCCTTCCTTCCTTCCTTCCTTCCTTCCTTCCTTCCTTCCTTCCTTCCTTCCTTCCTTCCTTTCTATTTGCAACCGCCACCGATAGGGTTAATCCTCTAAATGAGTCAGTTCGTTTGGTTACATCCGACTAGTGGTTGTTAAACGGCACAATTTGAGCCGGTTTTTTAAAAATGGTTAACTCAATATTTTTTTTTTTTAGTCAGGAAATATTACCTACTATGGCCACGAGATTTCGCTACTAAAAAATAAGGGGTCTTAAACTTAACGATGCGATGTGGTGCCATTTTTTGCGATGAATAAATGTGGTGACCCATTTATTCATCGCAAAAAGTATCTGACCGATCGTGAGAAAAGGAGGTAATTATGGCGTTCAATACACGAATGGATTTTTTGAGAATTTTATATATATGTCGTATTGGGATTCGGAATCTCTCAATTTTAAATCATTCACTAATGGCGGTTTTTGGATTTTAAAAGTCTGATTTTACAGGAATTGTATTTCAGTATGTGTAGAGTATTTACCCCTATAAATTCAGCCAATTTCACCCATAGACATTTTAGTATTTTTTTTTTAATTTATATGAAAAAAATCCATATAAAAAATGTAAATTTAGAAGTAATTCTAAAGTTCACGGCACAGATTGGGTGCTCTGCCCAGACCATGCTAGAATACATTTCCGGTTAAATCGGACTTTGCTCTCGGTAAAGGATTTTAAATCAAGAGATTCCAAATCTCCACGGATTCCGAATTCTAATACGACATATATATATATTAAGGCTCTTCAATTTCTTAACACGACGTATTATGTATATATATGTTATAGTAAAGGTAAAAAATCATATATAAAATTATTATTAATTCATTTTTATAAAAATATTTGTTTTAAAATACCAAAAGTAACCCAGGGGACCTTTGAGACTACCATTAGGAACACTATAAGGTTGAAAAGTAGGCAAAATCCTTTAAAAATGTGCCCCATGTTTTAACACTATTAATATATTTTTATTTGCTGTTCCTTTTCCTAACAGAAAATTAAAATAGAAATAACCTGTTAGAAAATTAGATTTTTTTTTACTTTGGGCTAAATATTATTATATCAAATCTTCGGAATATAACTGAGCTTTTCCCGGCAAATTTCGTGATATATTTTTTTTTATTATAAATTCCTTGGGAATATTTTAAATAAGACTTCTATTATAAATGCAAAAAATAATAATATATATTTTAAATCGAATATTCTTTTTAACATGTTTCTTTTTAATATGTTTTTTTTTAAAAAATATGTTCTTTTTAGAAATCTTGTAGGTATCGTCAATAATTGGTAGGAT